AAACTGAAGAAAAAAATTCAAGCCTCAACTTTAGTTATTGAAAGATTCTCTGAGCAAATTATTGAATGCTGCAGAAAGCGTCAAGAGAAGATGGAAGGAATACACAGAGTCTGTACCAAAAGGAAATGGTTAATGTTCAACTGTTTCAAGAAGTAGCATATGATCAAGAGCCAATGATACTGAAGGAGGAAATCCAAGGTGCATTGAAGGAATTGGCAAAGAATAAGGCACCAGGAATTGATGGAAATCTTTCAAGAAAGTGAGGTGGCACAGGAGGCACTCACTCATTTCTGCCAAGAAATTTGGAAGACAACTATCTGGCCGATTGATTGGAAGAGATTCACAGCCAGGGCTGAACTGTTTACCACTAGAAAAAAGGCCTGAACAGGGATTGTGGAGCAGAACAAGTAGACAAAAAAAAGGAAATAAGCCGAAAATTAAATCCTAAATTCTGTCAGAGCTCGGTCAACAACAACACAGAACACTGGGCCAAGAGGGCTCACAAGATAGTGTTGGAACTCTGAAACAAATATAAAGCTATGTTTGGAGGATTGGAGGGTTTACAGCTGGGGAATTTGAAGGGAATCCAGAAATCGATTGTATTCTGGATTAAGACACTCAGCTGTTCCAGGAGCCGCCATCTTGGGAGAGAACATCTTGATTGTATTAGGATTGATAGTAACAGGAGAGAACGAGAAGTCTTGATTGTATCTTGATTGTATCAGGATTGACATCGAAATTTAAAGTGACAGTATCAACATAAAACCAAATGGCCACCACTCGTCTGTCTGTCGTGCTGTGGTGGCTTGAGTTGCTGTGATTCTGAGGGCTATGCCACCAGTATTTTAAATAACTGGCAGGGTCACCCATGATGGACAGATTTCAGATGAGCTTCCAGACAAAGACAGACTAGGAAGAAAGAGTGACAAACTACTTCCGAATTGCTAGTCACTGAAAACTCTATGCATAGCAGAGAAACATGCAACCTGTAGGCTGAGCAAATAATCCGAGAAGCTGGATTATATGAAGAAAAACATGGCATCAGGATTGGAGGAAGACTCATTAACAACCTGAGATATGCAGATGATACAACCTTGCTTGCTGAAAGTTAAGAGGACTTGAAATATTTACTGATAAAGATCAAAGAGCACAGCCTTCTGTATGGATTACATCTCAATGTAAAAAAACAAAACAAAAGTCCTGACTATTGGACCAATAAACAACTTTCTTACCAATGGAGAAAAGATTGAAGTTGTCAAGGACTTCATTCTTCTTGCATTAACTATCAACACTCACGGAAACAGCAGTCAAGAAATCAAGTGACGTATTGCATTAGGCAAATCTGCTGCACAAGAGATTTTTAAAGTGTTGAAGAGCAAAGATGTCAGCTTGAGGACTAAGATGGACCTGACCCAAGCCATGGAATTTTCAATAACTTCATATGCATTTGGAAGCTGGACAGTGAATAAGGAAGACCGTAGAAGACTTGATGCTTTTGAGTTATGGTGTTGGAGTAGAATATTGAAAGTGCCATGGTCTGCCAAAAGAACCAATAGATCCATTTTGCAAGATGTGCAGCCAGAGTGCTCCTTGGAGGACAACATGGCCAAACTTCGTCTCTCATACTTTGGACATATTGTCAGGAGGGACAATATGGATTGGTCAAGTGGCAGCATCAATGGATTCAAGCGTGACAACAGTAGTGAGGTTGGCCCAGAATCGGGCAGTGTTTCATTCTGCTGTGCCTAAGGTCGGTATGAGTCACTACCTACTTGATGGTACCTAACAACAACAACAGGGTCTTTATTGATGCTATCGGCTAGGTTAACATGAGATAGTACTTGAGTAGGGTGGATCCTAATCTAGTTAAAGTGGTGTCTTTATATAATAGAAGAAGAGACACACTTGTAAAGATGTACTTACAAGCAAAGGATTGCATGGGGCTATCAGAAACTGGGAAAGACATGAGAAGATTTCCCTAGAACCTTTGGAAAGAGTATATTTCTGTCAATACCCTTTATTTGGACTACTGTTCTCCAGACTCTGAAACTTGCTCTCCAGCATAGAGATACTAAAGCCTATTGAAGAAATGAGGCAGTAAAAGAGCTGAATAGGAAATTTCAATGGTCAGCTCTAAAAGACTAAGGCAAATATTACAACAAAATGTGCAAAGACCTAGAGTTAGAAAACCAAAAGGGAAGAACACAGTCAACATTTCTCAAGCTGAGGGGACTGAAGAAAAAAGTCAAGCCTCGACTTTCAATATTGAAGGATTCTGTCGGCAAAATATTGAATGATGCAGAAAGCATCAAAAGAAGATAGAAGGAATACGCAGAGTTACCATACCAAAAAGAAGTGGTTGATGTAAAATCATTTCAAGAGTCAGCGTATGATCAAGAGTCTATGATCCTGAAGGAAGAAGTCCAAGGTGCAGTGAAGCCATTGGCAAACAACAATTGATGGAATAGATGGAATACAAATTGAAATCTTTCAACAAACTGATGGGGCACTGGAGGCACTCACTCATCTATGCCAAGAAATTTGGAAGACAATTACCTGGCCAACTGACTGGAAGAGATCCATAGTTGTG